TGTCATTTATTTCTGCTCAAATCTATTATTTCTTTCATTCTGCTGGTTTTAGTTTTTGTTGTTGTTGTTCTTTTAGTAGTTTCTTTAGGTTTAAGTTGTTTATTTGAGATTATTTTGGCTTCCTTAGGTAGGCCTGTATTGCTGTAAACTTCCCTCTTACAATCACTCTTGCTGCATCTCAAAGCTTTTGAACCATTGTGTATTTCCGTGTACTTTTTTATTTATTTCCAGGTTGGCCCATTCATTGTTCCGTAGCATGTTCTTTAACCTCCATGTAGTTTGTGTTCTTTCCAGAGTTTTTCTTGTGGTTGATTCTAATTTTATAGCACTGTGGTCAAAATAGATGTGTGGTATAATTTTATCTTTCTGAGTTTGTTGAGGCTTCTTTTATGGCCTATTATATAATCTGTTCTACAGAATGTTCCAAGTGTACTTGAAAAGAATGTGTATTCTGTATTTTTAGGATGTAATGTTCTGAATAAATCCATCTGATCCAGTGTGTTGCCCAAAACCATTGTTTCCTTGTTGATTTTCTGTTCAGATGACCTGTCTTTTGATGTAAGCGGGTTTTAAAGTCCCTTACATTTATGGTGTTATTATCTATTAGTTCCTTTATGTTTGCTGTTAACTGTTTCGTATATTTGGGTGCTTCCATGTTGGAGGCATAAATATTTGCAGTTGTTACATCTTGTTGGATTGTCCCCTTTATAGTTATATAGCATCCTTCTTTGTCTCTTCTTAAAGTCTTTGTTTTAAAGTCTCTTTGTCTGGGGCTCCTGGGTGGCTCAGTCAGTTGAACATCTGACCTTAATTTTGGCTTAGTTCATGATCCCAGGGTTGTGGGATTGAACCCTACATTGCACTCCATGCTAAGTGTGGAGACTGCTAAAAGTCTTTCCCTTCCTCTGCCCCTCTCTCCCACTCACATTCGTTCATTCATTCTCTCTCTCTCTCTCTCTCTCTCAAATAAAAATAAATAGGGGTGCCTGGGTGGCCCATTCGGTTAAGTGTCTGACTCTTGGTTTTGGCTCAGGTCATGATCTCACGGCTTCATATATTCAAGTCCTGCATCAGGCTTTGTGCTCCAGCTCGGAGCCTGCTTGGGATTTTCTCTCTCTTCCTCTCTCTCTCTCTCTGCCCCTCCCCTACTCGTGATGTCTCTGTCTCCCTCAAAATAAATAAGTAAACTTAAAACAAATGAAATTAAAATAAAAATATAGTCTATTTGGTCAGATATAAATATTGCTATTCTGGCTTTCTTTTGACCTCTGTTTGCATGATAAGTGTTTCTCCATCCCATCACTTTCAACCTGCAGGTGTATTTAGGTCTAAAATGAGTATCTTGTAAGCAGCATATAGGTGGGTCTTGTTTTCTTAGCCATTCTGTTACTCTGTGTCTTTTGATTTACATTCCATTTATATTCAAAGTAATTATTGATTTATACGTGTTGCTATTTTATTACCTCTTTTGTGGTTGTTTCTGAAGATTTTCTCTGATCCTGTCTTGTCTTTCTCATGGTTTGCTTGTTTTCTTTAGTGATATTTTTGCATTTTTCTTTATTCTTTGCATATATATTAGTACTTTTTGATTTGTGGTTATCATTAGGTTTGTTTATAACATTCTGCATATAGCAGTCTGTGTTAACTCAGCGGTTAAGTTTGAACTCATTCTTCACTCTTCCTCACATTTGGATATGTTGTCCTATTTTACATCCTTTTATATTGTGAGTTCCTTGACTGATATTTACAAAAATAGTCATTTTTACTGCTTTTGTGTTTCCTTCCTTCATAGTGTCACTTTTGGTCTTCCTTTCCACTCAGAGGCCCTTTAATATTTCATGCAGGACTGATTTAGTGGTCATGAACTTTTTCACTTTTTGTCCAGGAAACTCTTTATCTCCTCCTATTTTGAATGATAGTCTTGCTGGATAGAGTATTCTTGGCTCTAGATTTTTCCCACTCAACATTTTGTATGTATTGTACCCCTCCCTTCTGGCTTGGAAAGTTTCTGCTGAAAAATCCGCTGGTAGGCTTATGGGGTTTCCATTGTGTGTAACCATCTTCTTTTGTATTGCTGCTTTTAAAATTTTTTCTTTTTGGTACATTTTGTGATTTTTATTGTAATATGTCTTGGTGTGGATCTGCTTTTGTTGATTTTGTTGGGGGTTGTTTGTGCCTCCTGGATCTAAATATCTATTCCTTTTCCAGATTAAGAAAGTATCTAGCTATTATCTCTTCAAATAAAATTTCTACCTCTCTTTCTCTCTCTTCTTTGGAATTCTTCTAATGTGAATGTTTTTACTTTGATGGAGTCACTGAGTTCCCTAAGTCTGTTCTCGTATTGCCTAATTCTTCTTTCTGTCTTTTGTTCATCTTGCTAACTTTCCATTACTCTGTCTTCTAGCTCATTAATTCATTCCTCTGATTCTTCCGGTCTGCTATTCATTGCATCAAGCGTATATCCTATCTTGCTTATTGCACCTTTCATCTCTGATTGTTTCTTTTTTATTTCTCTGTTAAAGGTCTCACCCCATGTCTTCCACTCTTTTCTCAAGTCCAGTGAGTAACCTTATGATCATTGCTTTAAATAGTCCATCAGACATGTTGCTTCTCTTTTGCTTAGCTCTCCAACTATGGCCTTGTCCTCTTGTTTTATTTGGGACAGATTCCTCTGTCTTCTCATTTTGTCTAAGTTTCTGTGCCTGTTTCTCTGTGTTAGGAAATTTGCTATTATGTTTCCTGTTCTTGAAGGTAATGGTCTTGTGAAGAAGAGGTCTTGTAGTGAGTGCCCTGGTGTGTAGTGTCCACTGTGCTCCTGGTCTGGCTCTTCCAGTATTATCTCCAGCGTTTGCTTCATATGTGCTCTGCTGTTTTTTCCTGGCCTTTTTATCCTTTAGGACAGTCATCTGCAGAGACTCTCTTTGCCTGTTGTGGGTAGTGTTTAGTCCCTGGTGTGAATGTAGCATGTTTTAACTAGATGTGAGACCTGTTGCCACCAGCACTGGAACTGAGGCTCTGCAAAACTCCCGGATCAGGAGACAGGATGTGGGCAGGGGTTTGGGCTGGTCTTCTGGCAAGGGCGCCTGCCATGCTGGAACTGAGGTAAGTGTGACTAGGAAAGGCAGTTCTACCAGAGTACAGTGGGGTGCAGGAACAGGCCTTGGTGTAAGCAAATTAAGTAGGCAGTATTGTCATTGCGCTGGATCTCATAGGTGGTTCTATGCTTATACTGAGGGACTGGGGAGAGAAAAGGTGGTTGCCTGTCCCTTTTTTCCTGGAGTGTTCTCTTCATGAATGCTGCCTCTCTGGGACACACTCCAAGATGAGGGAATAACCTACCCACTGTGTGCCCCAGGTGCTCTTCAGATCACTGTTTACCCTCTGTATGTTTGAGGACTGTTTCCCCTGCCTTCTCTCTAAAAGCAGTCCCAATGCCTCACGGCTTTCCCCAAGGTCAAGCTCGCTGACCTTTAGAACTCCAGGCTTTAGCCTGGTTACAAGAACTCAAAAAATTCATCCCCTCTCATTTTCTAAGCCAATTGCTATGGGATTCATTTCTCCCAGGCACTCCCCTGTGTGTTAGTCTGTCACCCTTCTCTGCAACCATAGCTTCCTCACTACCACAGCAGCCACCATCCTTCTTTTCTCTCCCAAGCCATCTCTCTGCACTTCCTACTTCCTTCATTATGGCCTCTCCTCTACCTTTAGTTGTGGAGTTTGTTCTGCCAATCTTAAGGTTGATTTCTGGAGTATTTAGGATTATAATTATCTAGCTGAATTTGTGGCTAGCATAGGGTCTTCCTACTGTGCTGCCATATTCCTTTCTCTGTCACACAGTAACATTTTTTTTTTAAGTTCTTGTTAAAATTCCAGTTGGTTAACATACAGTGTAATATTAGTTTCAGGTGTACAATATAGTGACTCAAGACTTCCATATAATGGCCAGTACTCATCACAAGTGCTCTCCTTAATCCCCATCACCTGTTTAACCTAGTCCCCTACCTACCTTCTCTCTGGTAACTATCAGTTTGTTCTGTATAGTTAAGAGTCTGTTTCTTGGTGTCTCTTTTTTTTCTTCCCCTTTGCACATTTTTGTTTTTCAAATTCCACATGAGTGAAATCACATGGTATTTGTCTGTCTTTTTCTGACTTATTTCACTTAGCATAATACTCTCTAGCTCCATCCATGTAGTTGCAAATGGCAAGATTGCACTCTTTTTTATGGCTGAGTAATATTCCATTGTATACATACCCCACCTCTTCTTTACCCATTCATCTCTTGATGGACATTTGGGCTACTTGTAATTGGCTATTGTAGATAATGCTGCTTTACGTGTCACACAGTAAATTTTTGAATAAACGAATGTAGTTAAATAATTGTTTTCCCCTTTTTTTTTCAGTTTTTTCTTTGTCACAAAAGTGTTTTTGGAAAGTACAGTAGTCAGCTATGGACTTTTTGTGGGATTGTGTACTTAATGAATTGTTGCTATAAAATAGTGATTATTATTTGGGGGATTTTCTTTTCAGTGATTTCGATAATTTTTTTTTTTTTTTTTTTTTTTTTTTTTTTTTTTTTTTTTGCTACAGGAGCAAGGTATTTTTAACTTCTGAAAGTAGAACCCTTTTCCATGTTCTTTTTTAATATGTTTATGTGTGCACATACCTCTCACTTCCAATTAGACTTTTTCTCTTCACTGTTTCTTAAATAGATTGCTTAAGGAGTAAGCTACAGGACAAAACTTTCTAGCTGTATTTTAATCTAATGTGAAATATAATTTTGGAATGGAATAAGCCTGGAATCTTTGTCTTCTCTAAAATTTAAAAAGTAGCAATCATTTCCTCTTTGGTCCTCCTCACATATTATGCAGAGTGAAATTGAAAGTGTCTTCTTAAAACTGATTGAATGTAGCACTTTCTCTTGGTATAATGTGCCAGTTAAGGCCTATAAACAGTCATGTGAAATGCTGTATGTAATTAAGGTTTTCTAATTTTTTTCAAAGGCAGGATCCACAGCACCACTGTTTATTGACCAGCCAGAAGAACCTGAGTCAAATGCAACAGATGGCATGGAATTATTTGAAGACAGTCAGCTAACCAGTCGCTCTAAAGCAATAGCATCAAAAACCAAAGAGATTGAACAGGTGAGAATTCAGTCTTCTTTAAGTATATAATCCTTTGTTCCTGTCATTTTGCACATGGTAATTATAGTAAATATTTATTGAATAAATATGTCATTTAGATTTTTTTCACTTGTGATTCTGAAATTAAAAAAATATCAAAATTGCTTAATTTGATTTCACAGTAATACTGATCAGTTTGGTCCCCTATTCTTGTTTACTTTTTTATTTTTTAAGTAAAAAGCAAACTTCTTTTTTAAGGAATATCAGTATTCGTGGTAGTATGAAGCAATTAAACTATTAAAATTAACAGGAATGGGCTGAAAGAAATGTTAAATATACCAAAATGTTAGCAGATGTTGTTTTAAGAATATTGGCATTACAGATGTTTATGTTTTTCATTACACTCTAAGCATTTTTCAAATAGTAAAGAAAAAGTAAAGGATAAGTATATAGATTTAATTTTAATGATATCATTCTGAAAAGTTAGAATCTTGTTTTTAATAGATTAAATAGATTGCTTAGGGAATTATAGGTCAGAACCTTCTAGCTATATCTTAATATAGTGTGAAATATAATTATGGATTGGAATAAGTTTAGAGGCTTTGTCTTACCTATTAAGATTTAAAACTATTTTCTCTTCAGTCCTCTTCACATGTGCTCATTATACATAGCAAAATTTAAAATGTTTTCACATGGAAATATTACCTGCCTCATGGTGTATTATAACTTTAGAGGATTAAATGAAGTAAATAAAATTTGAAAGGGTTTTATAACATGTAACATGTTGTATAAGTATTTTTTTCCCCAGTGTAATTAACATATAGTGCTATATTAGTTTCAGGTATATAATATAGTGATTTCACAATTCTCTACATTACTCAGTGTGTACAAGTGTTTTTGATGTTACTCTCCAGTGCTTTGAGTAAATGTCATATTGTTATATAGTCTTCTGAAACCTATTGGGAATTAAGAATAAAGTTAAATCTTTTCTCAGGGTACTTTCCACTTTCACATCAGTTAAAATCTATTTGCCTTGGTTGGATAGGAGAACATCTTAAGTAAATCCTGGTTGTGATTGTACAGCTCATATTGATGCTACCCCAATGGCAAAGGATAAAAATCTAATAAATACAGGATGTTTCATGTAAGCCAGTAGAGTTTTAAACTGGAGGTGGTCAGCATGCTTGGTGTCAGTGTCAGATGCTTGGAAGAATAGAAGGAAAATGGAGACTGAGAAAAATTGTGTTTAATTTGGTGATATGAAAGTGGTGCCTTACAAGATACCAGTTAATTGAGAGCATAAAAGGTTTGCTCATCAGATGTATCTTCAACATGGATATAAATATCATTATCCTATGTAGAATTACTGTCCTTTTGTCCTTTTACTCTTAGTTTTCTTTGTAGTTTTTGGGTTATTTTTTTACTACTTGACATATGTTTTTATTTGTTTGTCTCCCTCCTAAATGGAAGCTTCATGAGAGCAGTGACTATCCCTTATCTCCATTACCTAATACAATGATTGGCATGTAGTGGGCTCAAAAGAAATATTTGTTCTCTGGATGGTGGATAAGAGTCATAAACCTAGAAGTGACCCTTCCTTGAATAGCCCCTGAGTCACTTTAAGTCAGAGACTGCATCTTAACCTGATCACCTAATACGATGCCTAGGCCCAGCACTTTGTAATAAGTGCTTGATAAATGTTTATTGAATGAATGATTTATACTATTTTTCTTTTCCACCTAAACAGCAGTTATTCTTTTAATGTTTGTTTATTTATTTATTTTAATATAATTTATTGTCAAATTGGCTAACATACAGTGTATAGAGCATGCTCTTGGTTTTTGGGGTAGATTCCCATAGTTTATCGCTTACATACAACACCCAGTGCTCATCCCAACAAGTGCCCTCCTCAATGCCCATCACCCATTTTCCCCACTCCCATCCACCCCCAGTTTGTTCTCTGTATTTAAGAGTCTCTTATGGTTTGCCTCCCTCTCTGTCTGTTGGTAACTATTTTTACCCCTTCCCTTTTCCCATGGCCTTCTGTTAAGTTTCTCAAGTTCCACATATGAGTGGACACATATGATATGTCTTTCTCTGACTTATTTCACTCAGCATAATACCTTCCAGTTCCATCCACGTTGCTGCAAATGGCACGATTTCATTCTTATATACCAAGTAGTATCCCATTGTGTACATAAACCACATCTTCTTTATCCATTCATCAGCTGATGGACATTTTAGGCTCTTTCCATAATTTGGCTGTTGTTGATAGTGCTGCTATAAACATTGGGGTACGAGTGCCCTTATGAATCAGCACTCCTGTATCCTTTGGATAAATTCCTAGTAGTTAAACAGCAGTTATTTAAAGGAGAGTTTCTCTTAAAAATATAATTGGTAGAAGAATTTGAAGTAGCAGGGTAGGAGGATTTGGGGTTGTCATTTATTAATATTTCTCCTGTCTCTTATTATTCATAGTTGATTTATTTGATCTTGAAAAGATGAGCTACCAGTCAGATAAACAGCCTAGTTTAACAGTACACACTTAAAGAATATTGAGATTTTAATAGCAAAACAGATGACCTAAAAAATCTAAAAGAACATTACTGTATTCTGATATGACTAGAGAAGTAAAGATAGTTATTAGAAGTATTATAAAACAGAAAAATTAATAATGTTAAATATAAATAATTTTATATGTTAAAAATAAATTATTGTACTTAATAATGTTACTAAACTCTGTTCTTAATAGAGCACTTTGGTTTACATATATTGGCAAGAAAATCAAACCTTAAAAACTCCAAAAATGTCAGAAAGCTAGTAAATAATCATATATAACTATTTTATAAATTTGTGTCTAAAAGTTATAGTGATTTTTAAAAATGAAAAAGTAGTTTTAAGGGGCACCTGGGTGGCTCAGTCGTTTAAGCGTCCAACTTCGACTCTGGTCGTGATCTCGCAGTTTGTGAGTTCGAGCCCCGCTTCGGGCTGTGTGCTGACAGCTCAGAGCCTAGAGCCTACTTTGTATTCTGTGTCTCCTCCTCTCTCTGCCCCTCCCATGCTCATGCTCTGTCTCTCTCTGTCTCTCAATAATAAATAAATGTTAAAAAAAAATTTTTTTTTAAAGAAAAAGTAGTTTTAAGGGGATTTTTTCCCCCTTGTTTTCTTCATTTTCAACTTCTGCACATTTTAGTTTTAGGGATTAAACGCCAAATGAATAGGAATAATGCAAAGCCTTGAGAAAGCCAGCTAGTAGTTACACAGCTGTCCAGTAGTTATTCTTTATATTTTTCCACATGCTTGAAATATTTCATGATTTTACAAAATAAATAATAATCCAAAAAAGCCCACATAGATGAGGACAACAATTCAGGCTTGGAATAATATAGAAATGTAAATATTGGTATAATGCCCAAGCTGCTTTTTCTGTCTGTTATATCAAGTGCAGTATGTTTAGATATCTTGTAAAGATAAATTACCACAAACACTTTTTTTAGCGTTTCTGTATTAGATTCTTCAGTGCTTCAACCCCAAGGAAATCATTAACTTGTGGCTATATTGCAATATAAAATAAACTTAATCTCTAGGCCAAAATTTGGTTTAATTCGAAGTGCCTACAAAGTGGCTATTTGATGTTTAAGGGCATATATATATATGGAGGTAGATGTATGTGAATCATTTCAGTGAGGGAGCATATTCATGTTCTTTGCCACATTATTGCCATCTCATCCTGGACATTAAAGAATTTTAATAGGGTTGGAAATGTTGGTGCTTTTTGATAAAGCTCCCCACATTAATAGTCAAATATGCACAGAGAACCACAGTCTAAAATCCTTGAGCCAGAAGACATCAGGTTGCATCTCTGAATATTGTGTTGCTAGATAGAGATCATTTGAATCTTCCCCCTTGTACTTCAGTATCCTTTAATGGAGATGATTCATTTTGTTGCCACAGCACATTTAGCCTCCTTATGTTTTGGATCCTATGGTATTTTTTTTTTCTTTTTACCCTCATTTCCCTAGATTTACCCATTCTTACCCAATTTGGGCCACTTTTACATTGACTTACCAGAGTATTTTTTTGAGGTTCCTAGCTTCTTAGCTTAGAGAGATTTCAAAATTTCCCCTGCCATTATAAGTAATTCCTAGATAGACAACCTACAAAAGTATGGGTGATTCATAATCTGACTCAGGTATTTGTCATTAACCCCTTAACTGTCATATCTCACAAGTCCTCACATACCTATTACTGACTTATTTGATTTGAAATTAAGTGCATCCCACTACTTGCTATTTTATCAGTGAGGAATCTTTTAAAAAATTGGCACTTTGAACAAACCTCACAAATTGAAATCTGTATTATTACATAGCCCTTCTTCCCTCTATTGTACCCCCGGGGATAAGGTAATATTTACTTTAACTGTTTGGAACCTTTTCATGTTGAAGATTTGTCCCTCATGATTTGTTAAAATTGTGCTTAGACATAGCCTATCCGTGAGATCAGATCCTCTGTTTTTTGGAGGTCTGGCAAAATAAATAATTATATTTAAAAATCTCTTTGTAATTCTCTAGTGGCAAGATCTGGATTAGAGTCTTCTATCTTCTTTCTTCAGATGGAATCAGATAATCTGAGTGGATCTATATAAATATGTGTGTATAACATATACATGTATGTAGTATATATAACATAATGTGTGTATATATAATATGCATATGCATGTTCTGCCTAGTAGATCATACAACTATGAATGTCACAGTGGCTAAAATCCTCCTACAGACAGACATAAGTAACAGAAAAGCAGTTTGCTAATTAAACAACTACTAAAGGTAGTGAGTAACTGCTGTTTATTAGGACTTTTTGCTATGCAAACTAACAGTCTTGAAGAAAGAACTTTCCATCTCTTAACCCTCAAACACAGTACTTATATTGTGACTCTCTACCTTTGTTGTACATCTGGGGGGCTCCTTAAAAGTAGAGCTTCTTGGATTTCTACCATAAATATTTTGGTAATTAGGTTATCA